GAAGAAGAAGAAGAAGAAGAAGAAGAAGAAGAAGAAGAAGAAGCAGCAGCAGCAGCAGCAGCAGCAGCAGCAGCAGCAGCAGGAGGACCAACAGCAAGATGGATAGATTCAGTTACAGTGGTGATTGGTACACCATTGGAAGACCTCAAGGACCAGGTTAGGGACAGATGGAGAAAATCTATCATGTGGTCACTAAGAATTGACAGTGACTTGATGGCACATAATAAAAAAAAACCCCAATTTTCCTCTAGGAGCTCAAGATGGCATACATAGTATTCCATCCTCCAATTTCTCCCCATAATAACAGGTTGGTTGCTGCAAAGAAACCTAGGGGGTTTCAGTGGCTGAGCACAGGCTAGAACTTGGATCTTCTTGTAGTTGAAGATCTTTACTGCTATATCACACCAACTTTCAAAGATAATTAGCTTTCCTTAGTGTACATATCTATAGTTACATAGATTTATATATCAATTCTTTCCCATTTCTTTTTTCTTACAGCAACAATCCATGAGATGGGTTAGGATGAGAGAAGGGAAGTGGCTCCCAGTCCTCCAGGGAGCTTCCATGGCTGAGGGGGACTAGAACCTGGGTCTCCCCACTCCTTGCCTTCACCCCTGCACCACCCTGGCTTTCATTTGGCCGCTAAAGTCTCCTCTATTTATTTTACATTTTTGAGCAGAAGTCTGAATCTTGCCTCAAATTACTTATGAGAGAAGAAGAAGCTCTACTGGAAAGCAAATGAAATTAATTGACCTAGAGAATGGACAATAACATGCTGATATGTAAATTGATCAGCTGGCTTGGAACAGAAGCCTTGCAGGGCATCTGAACACATCACCCAGTCCTGCTACACGTGCCTTGCTGTCCACCCCACACCTCATCTGCAGAAAACCATACAGCCAAGACAGTTGCAGAGGTGAAAGTCACAAGGAAGACTTTGCGCTGGGATATACTTACACTGGATCAGACGCTCACAAGCTTGGTTTACCAGATGATAAATGGTAGACAAAGACTGTGCTTCACCCTAGGTGGAAAGAGAGGAAGGAGTTGTGCTTTACATAAAAGAGATGAAGGGGGAGGAGCTGAGAGGCCGCTGCTAATTGAACTCCTCTGTTGTGGATCACAAAGGTGGCCCAACCCTTGCTATTTTGCAGGCACCATGCAACAAAGCCAGACAAAAGTTAGTCATCCTCACCAGAATTATTCCTGTTGGGGATGATGGACTTTCAAATCAGAAAGCATCTTATCAGAATTACTCAATACATGATTACCGCAGCAAGGCTTTC